AAAAATAGTTATTTCACAATCACCTTACTAATGCTGTTGTTGGGAATGTAAATAAATGAAGGAGTACAAAGAACAGTGTCAGTATTATGGAATATCCAGGTACCAGTTTCTGTGAGCTAGAAGGGAAGTTTGGTAAGATGGAGATAAATAGAAACCGGCTTAGACACAGAGCCCTTCTGCAGTCTGCCTTTGGCAGCAGAAGCAGGAAGAGTATCTCGAACTCTCCAAAGTAGTGTCAGAGTGGAGGGCTGAAAATGCCATCTTCCCAGGCTACCTAAGGAACTGAAGCCTTATGTGGTCTGAGGAACTGAAGAATAATTCGTTCTGTTGGAGTGTAGTTTTTCCATTGTTTTCGGTATTGTTGATCATTGCTTCCCGATAAGATTAATTGGTTGGTCTTGTTAAGCCTGATCTGGGAGCTAAACATTCTGAAGCAGCATAAACCGATGTAAACCTGCTGTGCAATGAGCCTTTCCCTTGATCAACAGTGCTTTAGCATCCACTTGAAAAATGACAAGCACATCAGCTGGACAGACTGCTGAGACTTCTAGTCTAGATCATGCTTTTGTCAAGAAACATTGGGCTAAATGATCCTTGAAGTTCGTTCCCACCTGGCATTCTAGGACTCTACTGAGAAACCCTATCAGAGTTTTCTTACAATTTAAGTCCCTGGATGATCCCCACCCAGTTGTGGAAGGGGTGCTATTTGTGGTGATGAAGCAGAACAGAAGCAAGAACCTAGATTTAGGATGGGTTTGCTTAGGGCTACACTCTGTGTCAGCTGAGAAATGAAGGCGTCTTCCTCTGTTTGGGAATGGTGACTGAAATAAGAAGAGTGACCAAACTCGGAGTGCTCTTTCGATTATAGGATTAAAAGTGTGTAGGGTTTTGATGTGAGATGAAGTCAGCCTCCTTTGGTAGGTGGTAAAGTTTCACTTTAGCGAGGTACAAAATGGGCCCTTGACCTAGGAAGACAACCCTTCTTCAGGACACTGCTTATGTTACATATTCAATTCAGATGAAAAAAAGAACTACATTTTTTTCATCTAAAGCTTTAATTTGTCTGAGGTGATACTCAGGGTAAGGTTGATATACCTATAAAACCAAGAAGGAAGACAACTGCAGAGAAGGGAAATGAAATAAAAACATGGAAATTATTTAGGAAGTCTTATATGCTGCTGTTCCAGTATTAATTTTTAAAACCAGCACACATACAGAAAATCAGTATATTATGGCAGTTTTCCTCAACAATGAGAAACAAGAGGACAAGTAACTATCATTGGGTGAGAGAGGTGCAGGATGTTGTTCTTACTGGTTTCTCTGAAGGGTCCCAAAGGCCCAAATTTGTTCCACCCTCATTTTAGCACCCTCCCCTGCTGCTGCGCCTGGTGAGCTGAAGACCTGCTTCCCATAGGTTTGATTGGACTATGATAATTTTATGTTTTCCCTGGTCTCCCCTTCTTAGATTGTTGTCTGCCAGGGAAGCTGAAGGCAGAGCAGCATGGCCAGATAGCATGGCATGGCCTGTTCTCAGAGTGCACAATTACAGCCTGCTGTTTGTTTTAAAATATTAATCTAGTTTCAGATAGGAAAAACCTGTTTCTCTTTTTTTTATCTAGTGTGATGTCCTGTTAGTGATATCAGACCTTTGTGATTGCCAAAATATGGCAGAAAAAAATGGTCCTGGAAGCTTTCCATGCAGATAATCTGCCTTAAAGTGTAAACATGCTAAGTAAAGAGCCATGATTTTTGAACCAAAAGCCTTATCGCTATCATTGTGGGAGTAACTAGTGCATGAAAATGCTCTCATTTACAGGATTACATGTGATATGGATGCTGGATATGCTTAAATCTATTCTACTGGTACCTGCATGGCCTTTCTACAGTGCTGTCTCTGAGAGTTGCTTTATGTGACTCACCCTGGTTTGAATGTCAGTGGACTGCTCACTTACAATGAACCTGTGCAAGGCTCATTGTGCTCCCTCCAGCTGCCTCTGCTTTTGCACAGCCTGTGAAGACTTGTTTTCCAACAGCAGTGGCATGCAGCTTATCCAGGCTCTGGGGTGTGAACCTGAAATAGGACATTTGGCTGTTTGCTGCTCGGTCACAGTGTACCTTCATTTTAAAAACAGACCTCCTTCCCGTATTAGTGTTGGCTTTCAGAGCTAACATGCTGTCTCTAACAGCAGGAGGCTATTTGTGCAAGGGGCAGTCTCCCAGAAAGTAATGAGGAAGGTATTCTGAAATAGCCTGATAGTACAAGTCACCTACTGATATACATAAAAATCTGTAAGTATCTGATAATAGTGTCCTCTTTTAGGGTAATGGCACTAGAAAAGGCTGAAGCATGCAGCACTTGCCTTTAATTTTTTTGTTTTATTGCCCTGTGGGGAAAAAAGGAAGGTTTTGTATGAGTTTTTGTGAGTCCTCAAAGTCAAGTAACTTGTGTTTAGCAATTGTGCTCACATAAGTATGATTTCCTTCTAACAACAGGCCAAAGATGTTCTGCAACAGCAGGAATTTTATGAATATTTCATGAGTAGCTTAAGTTAGATTCTGCAGGATTAAAAAGAGGAAACTGGGTCAAATGCGCATGGTGCAAGCATCTAACTTCTTTAATGCTAAATTCATGTATACTGTAATTTGAAAGCTGAAGAAGCAAGTTTTGTGGGTTTTGTGGTTTATATTTATTTTTCTTCTATTAATTTTTAATTTGACCATCTGATGGAAAAATTACTTCTGAAATTTTGTGGGCCAAATCTCAGGAGACTTGTGGAGTTTCACAGTGTGTGCAGCCACTTCAGGAGATGCTTTTCCAGCAAGCCCAGTGACTGTGCATAAAGACTGTGCTGCTTTCCTAGGTATTGGTTTTGAAGAATCAGGAAGTGAGGACAGTAAGTGCTGTATCCTCTAGAGCTGAAGCTGTGGTGAGTTCTCAATGGATGCAGCACTTGCAGTAAAGCTTTTGAGGTCCTGCCAGAGTAAACCAGCAAACACAAAAATTACGGGGCCCTGGAGGGGACTGTGTATATTCAGAAGGGCCAAGGGAGCTGCTGGGGCCAGTGCCTGCCCTCAGCACCTCTGATCCCCATACCATGTGCCACTTCCCAGGGACTCCCATGCTAGTGGCAGCAATGTACTACTCCATAACTCCATGATTGGGCTGCTATGGGCTTGTTGGGAGGCATGTATGATTTGTGCTCCCCCATGACGTTGGAGCTGTTTGGAGAGCGGAGATGAAGCCCTCACAGTGCTAATCACTGGTGGTGGTGGGAGGGAAAAGTGCACAAAGGTATTCTCCATGGAGTGTCACAGCACAGCTCCATCAAGGTTTCCTGAAGATGCCATATTGAGCAAACCTACTAATTGGCTATTCTGGCGTGTGGCTTGTGGACATACAGAGTGCTGGTGTTTGAATTGGATGGTGTTTTCAAATATTGTTACTAGCTGGTGTTGCCAGTGCTCAGATAAAGTAAATAATAACCTGAAGTTCAGACTAAAGGAAAGGAAGTTTTCTTACTCCACTGTTCCTTTGTGAAGATCAGTTGCACAGAAAAGATGGAAAAGTAGTGATGACATCATGCTGCTATGGCAGTCGTCTTAAAACAGAGCTCATTAAATGCAAGACAGAGGATACTAATGACCAGGTTTTTTCAAATCTCTTAACACCTGTAGGTGTGTTAGTGGCTCCCTTGCTTAAGCTAAGTTGGGTTTTAATTGTCTTTGGCATTGCATACAGTGATAATAGGCTTCATTTTGATTCAAAAGATGATCAGTGATTTTAGGCCTCATTATTATTTAAGAGACGAATATACAGAAAGCATTAAAAAACTCTGATATGTTGTAAGTCTCTTTGGAGCTGTATATATCCAATCTGACTGTTATCACTGTTTTTACCCACACATTTTTTACTCTGTTACTGCTGTCCTTAATGGTTAATAGGTTTTGTCTTCATATTTTCAGCGATGTAGACATTTTTAGACTTGGTGTATAACATATGTAAATGGATAAGCCATTTACAAGGTTCATAATGGTCTTTGTGGCTTTTTAAAATATGCATAAAAATAAAAAGTGTATAAATGTAATTGCTGGCTTCACATTATTGTGGTAAAAGGCATTTCTGAGTTTAATATTGTTGGTTTTTTTTTTGCTATGCAAATAATCACCTAAGTGCAGAGCCCCCAGTGCAACAGGAGCCTGGGGAGGGTAACCCATCTAAGGTCTCCTGGTTGCTGTCTCCATGTTAGCTTCCTGTCTTCCGATGCCTTTGGAAGCCATCATGTGTCCTGCAGTTTTTTCCCGTGATGCTTTTTAGGTATTTTACAGAAACTCAGAGATATTGTGGCTGGACCTACATGATTGTTGCCCTCCCTTTGTGCTGGCTCAAATTAAAAGCAGACATTGCATTATGTTAGAGGGGCCTGAACTAACCATTAGGATGTTTTCCTCTCCTTACTTCTCCTTCCTCTAAAATACCTCCAGCAAGTGATAACATGCAAATACAAAGCATCAAGCCAAAGAAATGGATTTCTTTTTTTTGCTTCATTTAAGCATTTATCCTATTAATTCCGTGGCAGATGTTTTCTTTTTAAGCCTGCACTCTGTCACACAGTGTGTTTTATTGGAGCAAATGCTAAAGCATCACTTTATAAAAAAACCCTGTTAATGGCAAAGAGCAAAGTCCCAAGGACAAGCAGACAACATTTCTGTTTTTTTTTTAAACTACAATTGGATTGCTTTAGTGACAGCTTTTGTGGCTTACTGCCTTCCATCTCTGCTGTTTTACCATAACATTGTGGGGTTTTACAGCAATTAAGTCACTACTCATTCAACTACTCAGGAAGTCATTTCAAACAAGGTTTTGCTCAATAAAGTTTGGTTTCTGTTATTAAAATATTGAATATGGCCTCTTCAATAGTAATTAGCATGGAAATTAATTCTGGTTTTATTTAGAATTAATGTGGGTTTTTTTGTTGTTTTTTTCTCTTCTCGCTGTTCAGCTGTGAGGTCTGGCTGGCTGCCACCACCACCACCTGCGCTGCCCCCTCGACCTTCTGTGTCTCAGGTAAGGTCAAAGGACAAATAATACTTTGTGTGTTTTTCACTTACTTGTGTTACTGTTGCAGTGGTTAGCACAAGTTGAGTTGTGTATGGCAGTTATTCCTGCTTCCAAGTTAATGCACATCTCCAGTCTGCTCTGCAGTTTCCTTCATTGGTCTTTCTAGCCCGGTGTGTTACTGTGTCAAATTACACACTCATTACATCTCTTTGTAGTGGAGCTGATATGCACCCACTACACAAAACTGTAAATTAAAGGGTGCTAATGCTAGCCTACTGAGAGTTTTATGCCCGAAAGGCATGGGCTTGATACCTGCTATTTGGTTCTCAAGCTTCAGCTGCTCAGAGGACACCTGCTATGGGAGCTGTTTATAACAGTGAATAAGAGTTTATTTCACTCAGGGGTTTAAAAAGTAATGCTGAAAGGAAGCGTATGCAGTGTCAGTGATGTTACCAAGTTTCAAACCATTAGTGGTGTGCTTTTGGTTTGCTTTTGGATGAGTTTTTGTTTGTTTGCTTTTAGAACATGACAAAACCACAGCACAATGTAAATTGACTCAATCATGTGTATGTGTATCTGAATCCAGATTCTTCTTCAGGTTTTAGGAAATGATGGAGGATCAATGTCTTGCTCTTTTTATGTTCTTGGCTCTCTTAAGTCTCAGGCAGAAGTATGCTTCATGTATTATTCCTTTAGGTGAAGTACAGTAATAGAAAACAAGGCCATATGGGAGCTAACTGCCTATTACGTATAAAAACTTATTGAGACACCATCCACGGGCCAGAAACATTCTTCAGTTATGTTTTGGATCTGCTCTTAAGCGTCTGCTGTTGAACTCCTATGGCACAGTGCTTACAATAGAGATGATAAAAGGCTCATTGTCATCCTGTGCTCCACCAGCAGCTAGTAGCTCTTTTCCTCTCCACAACCTTTTTTTAGCATCTGAGTGCAGCTAGTTTCTACCTTGAGGACTGTAGAGTGTTTTGTTTTGAGCTTGCATGCATCCTCCAAGTTGGTATGGCATTAGCCATACTGTTAATACCACATGCCCCTTGTTTTGACCTATCAAATTCCTGCTTTCTCTAACACTTTATAGAGAACAGTGTTTTCCTTTGGCTTCTCCTGATCCCACAACAAGCTCACTGCCTCCCTGCCTTGTACTTGCAGCAGCTGTTGCTGCAACCCACACTGGCCCTCCTGCCACTGCTTGGACTTGCCACAGCATGCCAACTCAGTGCAGTGCAAGCCCTCTTGCTGCTATTGGGAAAAGCAGTGAATATAACAAATCCTGTTCTTGGGGGAGTAAAACCACTGTTTTCAAGCAAGGTTCTGCTACTTGTTAGTTTTCTTGTACTAAGATAGATTTGTGTTTCCTTAGCAGGGCAGTGAGGAGAGATGTTAGTTTATTCATGTCCAGCAGCTTCCTTGCCAGAAAATACTGCTCATCCTACACTGAGCCATGCAGATTATAGGCCTTTTTTCAACTGATAAACACAAGAAGACTCTTACGTGAAATTCTTGATCCAGTCCTCTCCAATACAAATATCTGGTTTCTGAAAGAAAAGAAAAAAAATAGAGTGGCTTCTGTACCTACTCAGTAATGAATATGTAGCTGATGCTTTGCTTATATGCATCACTTACGTTTATTCAGTTTATTTCTGATGCTTTTTGAAGATATCAAATATCTCATAAAAATATTCTTGTTCTGACATCTAGCAAAAATGTACATAAAACTGGTTCTTGAAAGCATAATAAACCTTGCTGGTCACATTGCTTATTTTATCTCCAAGCATGCCTTTCTGTGATAAACGTAACAGGCAGTAAGGAAGTATGTGTGATGTGGTCATAATTCAGCTGAGCTGACCCTTACAAATAGGACGTAAGCAAAAGTAAGCATGTGGATTACAGTAGTCCAGTGGGGCCCTAGAGTTAAAGAGCATGAAGAAGTTAGAGGGAGGAATCTGCTTTCAAAACTGAGGCAGGATCAAGAACTGAAGAAAAGTCATGATGCTGAAATTGCACCTTCAGCTTTTCCTGTTTCAGAGTTTACTAAACTCTTCTTAAATTTCTGGTTTAACTTATTTTTCAGCAATGCTATTGCAAATCCTATTTTATTGCCATATCATTTTGCTATATGCCTGCAGTTAAGCACTGTGAATGACAAATGCAGCTTGTAAATGAAGCGAATCCCACATACATCTCAGGTGGCTGTGCACCATATAAGTGCGCTCATGGTGTGATTATTTTGGCTCAGCTTTGGAAATCAGTTGATGGAGGAGGAGGAGAGGGAAATAATTTCTTCTGGGGACTGCAGTTTTCTATAGATGGCTGGGAAGCAGCTTGAACCAGTTGGCTCTTTAGAGTGAGATTAAAGGCCTCGTGGGATGTAAAGGCCAAAGTGTGTAAAAGAGAGGTACCAAGGCCTAGGTATTACATTTCAGTGGAGCAGAAGTCCTTCTGTGAGCTTAATCAATAGCAACATAGAAATGGCATCTTGACTTTGGTCCTGGATTGCTGTTGGTTTTAGTGGAATTTGCTTCAACCTTTAGGAAAACGTTGTTTTTCCTGTCAGAACCTCCAAGGTAATCAAGCTTGGTAACACTGAAACACTGCTTATTCAGAGTGTGCCAAATGTCTCTAGTCACATCACAAACTGCTTAAATTATGTCCAACTCTGCCTCCATAGCTCAGTCAGCTGAATGAGGGTGGAGGACTGTATCACTGGGTGAGCATAGTACAAGGTAAATCTTGAAGCTAATACTGCTGTGCCCTTGACTCCAGAGCTCAGTGGGTGCCCAGGCTTACTGTGGGAGGCTCAGATCTTGGGATCCTGTGATTACATGGCTGGTTTATGGGGAACCTGCCCCTCTACTCTGCTCTTGTGAGACCTCACCTGGAGTATTGTGCACAGTTCTGGTGTTCTCAACATAAAAAGGACATGGAACTGTTGGAACAAGTCCAGAGGAGGGCCATGAGGATGAACAGAGGACTGGAGCACCTCCCATATGAAGGCAGGCTGAGAAAGTTGGGGCTGTTCAGCCTGGAGAAGAGAAGGCTGCGTGGAGACCTCATAGCAGCCTTCCAGTATCTGAAGGGGGCCTATAGGGATGCTGGGGAGGGACTCTTCATTAGGGACTGTAGTGACAGGACAAGGGGTAACGGGTTCAAACTTAAACAGGGGAAGTTTAGATTGGATATAAGGAAGAAGTTCTTTATTGCGAGGGTGGTGAGGCAGAGGAATGGGTTGCCCAGGGAAGTTGTGAATGCTCCATCCCTGGCAGTGTTCAAGGCCAGTTTGGACCAAGCCTTGAGTGGCATGGTTTAGTGTGAGGTGTCCCTGCCCACGGCAGGGGGGTTGGAACCTAATGATCTTAAGGCCCTTTCCAACCCTAACTATTCTATGATTCTATGAAATAGCAGTGGGGCTGGCTTCTCTGTGCTGGGTTGCTGTGTGGTCAGCCTGTGCCATTCCACACCTCTGGTGGGTAGACACCTTTACAGATGTGGCTGCATCTCTTCTCACCTCTATGATGAGTTTTAAAGAGTTTGTGGATTAACTTTGCGTTTTCTTTTCCTCTTCTTGGTGGCCTCTAAAAGGCTATGGTAGCTCCATCTCCTTGGGATTTTTCTCCATTGCTAAAGTCAGCATTCTGTCAACTTTGTATCAGTCCACAAACTGTACCTAGGTTTACTCAGAGCTTTCAACAGACATTTATCTGGTGCAGTAGTGCTTTTGTCTGATGTCCTTATGGTGATTGTAAATAAATTGAATACATAAAGATGGACAAAAGACACGTTTCTATAATGTGGATACCCCATTATCTCCAATTTATGATCTTTTAACCCCAGTTCTAGCCCATATGATGTTTCCAGTAAGATACTGTGAAATGCAGTATAAAATGCTTTATTAGTATTTTCAGTTCATGTTGCTTTCCTATTAAGAAAAGTAATTTGAGATTTGCCTAAATCCTATAAAGGGCACTTGAAAAGATTATGTACGGAAACAGGTTTATACAAAGACTAGAGTTTTGTTTGGGATAATACGTCGTTTTGAAGCATTTTATTCCTGTGTATATGCCTGTGTAACTTCACTGACACCTTCTGTAATCCCTAATAGCACATCTCACACTTAGCAAGTCTGCAGTAGTCGCTTGGATTTAAGAGTAATTTTCTCTCCATTAGTTTCCCTATTTCTTTGGACCACAAATATTTAACATGCTGCAAGCTGTTGTACAGACTTTGGACACTGGCAATGTTTTAACTCCCTCACTTCCCATAACATGCTATAGTTATGGCTTTTCCACTCTTCTTTAATTCTGGGGGCTTTTAAAAAGTTTTTAGAGGGTTCTGTATCAACCCCTGAGCCTGAGTGATGGCATACAGAACAGATAACCTGTAGCTTGTTGGAATACCTATGGGTTTTTTTGTCTGGGCTTGTAGAGGACTAGATTCAGAGGCTCAGGTAATTTTTCCTGATCCCACGTTCCTAACTTAATAGTAAACTGAAGTCATCAAGGAGAAACGTCATAAAGATGGCCCCCAAACTTTTGTGCAGATCCAGGGCTGTACATGGAATATTTGTGTAACTTGGAGGCAGTAAGAATCACAATAGGAAGGCAATAGCTATGTAGCTGATTCGCAGTGACACAGATTCCAGATAGGAAATAAATTTGGGTGCTCATGAATAACATTCCACTGGAATCAAATGTGTACACCCATCTCATTTAAACCTCTGTTTTTTTTTTAAATGGAAAACAAAGTAATACTTCATTACTGCCGGCTTTTAGGCCTACAGAGTTGTTTACCACAGCTGCTTACTGTGGTAGATTTAGTAGCATATTTATGTTAATAGGAATTATGGATGAACACTGAAAAGCAAATATAACTTTAGGATTTTATCCAACATCAGCTCACTGTCCGCAACACTGCCCAATTAGATCAACATTCCTTTATTTGAATCACTCTATTTCACTACCTTCCTGTGCAATAATGAAGGCGTATCTTCA